GTCAGACACTCAGTCAGACACTCAGTCAGACAGTCAGACACTCAGTCAGTCACTCAGACACTCAGTCAGACACTCAGTCAGACACTCAGACACTCAGTCAGACACTCAGTCAGACACTCAGTCAGACAGTCAGACACTCAGACAGTCAGACAGACAGACAGTCAGACAGTGAGACAGACAGTCAGACAGTCAGTCAGACAGTCAGACAGTCAGTCAGACAGTCAGACAGACAGACAGACAGACAGTCAGACAGTCAGTCAGACAGTCAGACAGACAGACAGACAGACAGTCAGACAGACAGACAGACAGACAGTCAGACAGTCAGACAGACAGTCAGACAGTCAGTCAGACAGACAGACAGTCAGACAGTCAGTCAGACAGACAGACAGACAGACAGACAGACAGTCAGTCAGACAGTCAGACAGTCAGACAGACAGACAGTCAGACAGTGAGACAGACAGTCAGACAGTCAGTCAGACAGTCAGACAGTCAGTCAGACAGTCAGACAGACAGACAGACAGACAGTCAGACAGTCAGTCAGACAGTCAGACAGACAGACAGACAGACAGTCAGACAGTCAGACAGACAGTCAGACAGACAGACAGTCAGACAGTCAGACAGACAGTCAGACAGTCAGACAGACAGTCAGACAGACAGTCAGACAGACAGACAGTCAATGTATCGGAGGAGAGACGGGCGGAGGCATGCCTCTGTCAGAATCTACCTTATCAAAGCTGCTGCAGCAGTGTGTGTGTGAGAGAGTGAGTGTGTGTGTCTGTGTGTGTGTGAGAGAGTGAGTGTGTGTGTCTGTGTGTGTGAGAGTGTGTGTGTGAAATGACGTCCCGCTGGTTTGTTGTGTAAGCGCAAAGAGGAAGAGGAGGAGGCCTTCATGCTAACGGTGAGTGAGCTACATTTATCCGTGCAGCTAGCTCAGATGCTAACCTGCTCAGCKCTATGATGCAGCGGATATTCGGGCTGGTTCCGACCCAAAAGGCTCGGCTGTCATAAGACTGGACACTTTTGGACCGACCTGCATGCCGGTACCGTATTCTAAACGGTGTCATTGTTCCTGCAGATGAAGTGTCACGGCTGTGTTCGGTGCTTCAACTTTGCTTTCCGGAGAAGCTAGCTTAACGTTAGCATGGTCGGTTCCGGTTCGTCATTGTTATGTTCCGTTAGTTTGAGCGAACATCTGATGTGAGGGTTCGTAACCGGAGTGAAGAAGTGTGCTGACCCAGCAGAACCGTGTCATGTCTGTAATGTCAGCCGGGCTCCTGTGAAGCTGTCAGATTTGTGCCACTGCTAGCTGCTACTGCTGCTGGAGCCGCCAGTTCAACCGGGTCACGGGTCGGTACCTGCCGCTGCTTAACCAGAACCGAGCCGGTGTGTGCTGCAGGACCTGCCTCTGGTTCTGGATGATAACTGTTGTATATTAACTTTAGATAAGAGACACGAGGGAGACTGTAATGATCTGCAGGACCTGAGTCATAAAACAGGCTTTAGATGTGCCTATGAGTGATAAAACTGATTATTACTCATAATAAATATATGTTATTACAACTAGAGCTGCACTAACTGTCAGTTATTACATAACTGTCTGAGATCTTTCTTTAAATAACAACTCTAAAATGTTCAGGTTCAGTAAATCCCAGATCTGATGTCAGGCTCTGTTAAACTCAGGTTTAGCTCATAAACCACTGGATGATGCTCTTTAAGATGGCCGCCACAGCCAAACAACCCTATCAAAAACAAACAAACAAACAAACAAACAAACAAGTAAGTCTCTAACCCTACAGTTTTACAGCTGTTGACCTGAAATGTGTCATGGTGGTAGCTGAGAGTCATCCAGAGCTAGGGCTGCCACAATCGATTATTTTTTATAGTCGACTAATCACCGATTATTTTTTTCAATTAGTTGGTTCCCGACCTGGATTTCCACAAATGCTAAAAAGAGAATATAAAATCAACATAAGTCCTAAACTATACAACCGACAGACACCATTTACCCCATTTTATTTTTGTCTTTTTATGAGTAATTTGTTGAAGAAGACATTCCTATGTTTATATCATGTTCGATGCATAATAGTAGGGCTGTGTATTGGCAAGAATTTGGTGATACGATACATATCATAACAGAGGGGTCACGATACGATATATCCCAATAT